GCGCTCATCTCGCTTTATTAGCCGAGGGAGCCGGCGTACAGCTTCCGGGTCATGTGGCCAGCATGACTAAGCCGCTTCTGGCAAACCAGAGCAGTGCACAGAAACGCTGTTTACCTTCCCACCAGAGCGGTACCTATTTATCTACTTGCACCTGGGGTGCTTTCAAACTGCTAGGTTGGCAGGCGCTGGGACCGAGCGCACCCCGCCGCGGGGATTCGAACCGCCGACCTTTCGATCGGCAAGCCCTAGGCGCTGAGGCTTTTACCCACAGCGCCACCCGCCTCCAATTTCTTCCCTAAAGACTCCCTATTTCCCTCCCAAAGCTATAATTCACCAAGTTCCCTGTGAAGAGGGATTGCTTGTCAAACCACTCTGGAAACTGTGGCTCTGTGAGGGGAACAGGGGTCTCCTAACCGCTCTCAGCAACCATCACAAACTCCTTCTTCCAGAATTATTGGGGAGAAGCCATGATTGTTTAAAGTGGCATCATAGCGCTTTAAATGAATGGTGTGAACATGGCCTTTGTTACACCACACTGGTTATCATATGTGTCAGGGGCTCAGGAGCTGAGGCACAGGAAAGGGAGGAAATAGAGAGCGAGGCGGAGGAATCCGAAGGAAATGTTAGCGATGACAGCGGTCCGAGGTCTCTGAGTCTCTCCAGCGAATCGGAGGATTCACAGAAAGGGGCTCCCATGGTCAGAGCAAGGGGGTTGCCTAGGGGGACACCCCAGGAAGAAGGGGCCAGAGGGGACTCAGAGAGCAGCAGTTGGAAATCCGGACCAGCTTCTCCACCAGAGCGCAGTAGGGGGGAGGAGTCCCAGGTATCGGGATCAGGCGGCTCACCGCCAGCGGGAGGACATGAGTCAGGATTGGCCACTCCTCCATCGGAGAGCGAGGAAACGGTCAAAAGGAAGGTCGGAGACTGGGCGCGCGCGCCAAGTTCAAATGTACAAGAGGGCGGCGCAGTTGGCAGCCCGGATAGGGAGCCAGGTGCTAAAGCCCGCCGAAAGGAGGGAGAAGAGTCAGGGGGGTCAGCGTCAGAAGAGTCCAGGAAGGAAGGGACCCCGGGGGGTAGAAGGACCCAGAGGAGAAAGGAGAGACGGAAGAGGTGGAGTAAGGTTAGAGTCTTAAACTGGTGTACAGGGGGTGGAGATTCAGATGGAGCTTCGCCGGTCTAGCTTCTAGACGTAGAGCTGCGCGCTGCGGCTTGAAAATGGAAACTGTATTTCAATAAAGACTTTTGTACATTACTACCGGCTAGCGTTGGTCCTCTGTGAGCTGGGACCTGGAGGCAGAATCTGTCGTTTTCGGTTTCTTTCAATTTCTCGTTTTTCCACCCTTGAGTTTGGTTCTCCACATTTCCACATCAATCTGCAATTTTTTAAAAAACAACAAAACACACACCCAAAAAGTCCTCATGAGAACTCATCAACATTTTAGGGCAAACGGTAACACCACATCACCCGATACATAGCATTACACCAGGATGGGAGACCTTTCACAGCCTGAGAGCCGCATTAATGCCTGGGCAATGGTGCTGTGGATTAAACCACAGAGCCTAGGACTTGCCAATCAGAAGGTTGGAGGTTTGATATCCCCCGCTACGGGGTGAGCTCCAGTTGCTCGGTTCAGCTCCTGCCAACCTAGCTGTTCGAAAGCAACGTCAAAGTAGCAAGTAGAGAAATAGGTATCGCTCCGGTGGGAAGGTAAATGGCATTTCCTTGCGCTAACTCTGATTCGCCAGAAGGCGGCTTAGTCATGGCTGGCCACATGACCCGGAAACTGGTAACGCCGGCTCCCTCGGCCAATAAAGCGAGATGAGCGCCGCAACCCCAGAGTCGGTCACGACTGGACCCTAATGGTCAGGGGTCCCTTTACCTTTACCTAAATGTCCTAAGGGCCACAGGTCCAGTGGTGGGTGGGGCCAGGGGCTAAGTGGAGGGAGCAGAGAATGCAAATTTCCCCTTTGTCTGGTTCTAGCCACAAACACATCTCTCTTATCTCTCCCTTCAGCAAGCTAGAGGCATTTTCAGGAGTTCAAGGCACCTTTCCCAGCCTGGCAAAAAACACTCCAGGGAGAGGGCAAAGCAGGGCTGTTATCTGTGTTTTTAGAACAGACATGAGCCAGAAGCTAAGAAAGGCGCTTTTTTTTCTACGTTACGTAAAAGGTGTAGTAGCAGGAAAAAGCCAGCGGGCCGGATGAGGGGCTGCACGGCAGTTACCAAGATTTCTCTGGCCAACCATCTCTTCTCATGGAGCCCTCAATGTTGCTTTCTGCTTTTTTGAGCGTCTGCTGCTTGTCCGCACGGCAGAGCTTTGATCTCGCATGCGCGGGCCAGTGCCGGCTCTAGCAAGCCAAATCGCAGAAAAAAAAAAAAAAAGTGGCTCTGGTTCTCCAGGGAACTGTTTGCCAATCTACACATCTGGCATTTTTGCTTTCGAGGATCGAAAGTGGACAGCGCAAGTTGGGCCGCCTGCAGAGTCCACTAAAACTCTCAGGGAGCCACGAGCCTGTTTGTCACTTCAAAAGCGTCAGAAGCGTCTGGCTTGTTTAAGAGACTAATAGCAATTAATGAGTACACAAAATGCTATCAATTCAACCAAGTGTTCTTACCCGCCAAAAATTTCTCCGATGAAACTAGGGATGTCCATTATTATTATTATTATTATTATTATTATTATTATTATTATTATTATACACTGCTCATCTGACTGGGTTGCCCCAGCCACTGTGGGCAGCTTCCAACATATATGAAAACATAATAAAACATTAACATTCAAAAAATAATCCCTGTACAGGACTGCCTTCAGATGTCTTCAGATTTCCTTGGCTCAGGAATTGCATAACTCCATACCCTCCAACATTTCTCTGATGAAAATACGGACGTCCTAAGAAAAAGCGGGACATTCCAGGATCAAATCAGAAACCAGGATGGCTTTCTGTAAATCCCAGGAATCTTCCTGGGGAATAGGGGACACTTGAAGGTCTAGCCTCAACTAAACGTTGGGGCATTTGGAGCTGCCAGTTCCCATGTTACGGAGCATTCTTCCAGCAAGAGAATGCAACAGGCACCCTCGCTTTTGACTTTCAGGTGTTTCTCAAATACCCTTTTCCATGTTGACAGGGCCTATGCAATTGTTTTAAACCAGAGGTTTTTCAACCTTTTGAGTCCAAGGCTTCCCTTGAACAACGGGGCATTCTTTCTGCGGCACTCCTGTGGGACTCAGGAGCCCAGTTATGTCACCCCTTGCATGCAGAGCTGGCAGCCCCTCACCCTTTCTTGAACACCCTCCCTTGTGGAGCATTCCTTCAGCCTCCTCTCCCCTCTCCTTGGGAGTCCTCCGGGCAGCTTGCTGCTGCTGCCCCTGGTCTCTGAGCTGCCCCCCTGCCTCAGGGGCATGGGACTACAGCCAGGGCTGGCGGACTGGCTGGCTGGGCTCCCTCGCCTGCTTGCTTGCTTACTCTGAGGCCACCTAAAGCTCCTGGCCACTATCACCCCATGGCAGTGGTGGAGCTTCATGCTCCGGCACCAGGGGGCGGAGAGCAGGCGAGGCGGGGCTGGCGCACATCCTGGGGCGTGGCGCCCAGCATGGGCGAGGGGGGCAGCCCATGATGGCCACCCCACTGGGACCGCGCTGCCGGGGGTTGGTGTGCTCCCCCCGCACTCCTCTTCCTCTACCAATGCTCCCTGGCCAATCCCAGAGGCACCATTTCGCCTGCGGGAGCTTGTAGCTGGGGCTGCTGCAACAAACAGCCCTACAAGCCTTTGGGAGGCAGAAAATGCAAGAGGGCATCAGAGATGGGAAGGAAGGAAAGAGGGACAGAGGCCAATGTTGCCCAAGAACCCCTGACCAGCATTCAACGTACCTCAGGGTGCCCATAGCTGTCAACTTACAGATTTGAAAATAAGGGACCAGCAGCCTCGAAAATAAGGGATCAGCAGCCAAAATAAGGGATTTTCCCAGCACAGGTATGTTCAACTTCTGAGCCCCTCCAAGCCAAAGGCAAAAAACCCCAGCCAAATGAAGCCTCAAGCGATGGTTCCCACAGCGCAGCAAACCTGGCAAAGGAGAACCACCGTCACCTCTCCACTGGGAAGCGCTGAGCAAAGGCGAGTCCCCAGGCAACGCGGCCGATTTGATCGGCACAAGGCATGCAAGCTCCACTCCCCCCCCCAGTCATTCTTAGACTCTTTATTGGGTGAGGCAACGCAGCCCTAGCAACACAGTTGGAGCCTCCCTCCTCCCTGGCCGGCAAGGAGAAAGGGAGAGGAGATGCTTCCTTTGAAACCCGGGAAATTTAAGGGACATCATCAATAAGGGGCAGCAGTGGGACACAGCGCTGGGATAAGGGACTTTGCCGCCAAATAAGGGATGGTTGACAGCTATGAGGGTGCCCCGCACACTGGTTGAAAAACCACTGGTTTAAACTATTATTGTTCAGCCAGTTATGTTAATGATTATTTTGTCCTGTATTATTACTGATGTTTAATGTTTTATGTTACATATATTGTTAAATGCTGTACCACACAATTTCTTTATGAGATGGTGGTATATAAATATGTCTATAAATAAATAAAATTATTGAATAAAATACAGCAGTGGTGGGAAAGCTCTGCCTTGTAGACCTAACTACACCCAGTAGGCCAAATTAACAAAATTTTAACAATCCATTTCCAAAAGCTATAAATAGGGACAATGATTTATATAGAGCAGGAATAAGAAAACAAACTCTCCCAGGTAAACAGAGAAATCTGGAGTGCTTGGTTCAACACAATGAAGAAAAAACATATTTGTGTCTGTTGTTGTAGGATGGTGCTCTCAGCAGCTCTAAATTGTTTTGATACAAACCTTTTTATATAAAACAATCCCAGTCCTCTCCCCCAACTCCCCACCCCACCCCAAGGCTGCAGTGCTTAGTGCTTACAAGGGAGTAAGACTCACAACACACTGAAATGTACTTCCTTTCAGGAAACTTGCTTGCACTACAAGGATAAGGTATCAAACAACTATAAGAAGTTTAAAAGCATCCTTTCAAACAACTGTCAAGTTCCTCCTAATCAGTCCCACACACAGAGGCTTCATTTCCCCATTTCAGAGCGAAATCATTTGGGCCTTGGAATATCTTTTCTGAGGATGAAAGGGGAAAGAATCATTCCGCTAGCTCGAAACACCATTCAATGTTGATTCAACACTTACAAAAAGAGGAAGAAGAAAGACTCCCACTCAAATGAAGCTCATTCTTTAAGAGCTTTGCAAGGGTCTTGCAAAGGCTAATAAAGTCCTCCCGAGAGGGAATTTGCAAATTTGCAGTGAGTCTCACTGGATCTTTTCCAACCTGCTTGACAGAACCGACAGTGTGACTCATTAGGCATTAAGTCTCCTCCTCCTCCTCCTCCTCCTCTTCCTGTTCTTCTTCTTGCTGGTTTCCTTATAACAGGCCAAAAAACTGATATAACACCACCCCGCTGCTGGTCGCTCAGTATATTTAGTTGTAACACAGGATGTTGCAACACAGCCCTCCTGGCCAAGGGTGCCAACCTGAATAAAATATTTGGGGGGGGGTAGCAGGTAAGCCCCACCCTGTATAATTAATCACATGATGTGGCACACACAACCATTTGAATGGAAATTCCCCTCAACTTTGGGGGGGATCACAGCACCCAAAATGGCGACATGATCTTGTGTTTGAAAACGGGATGTCCCGTTTCCCCCCAGAACAGTTGACAGGTATACTGTTGAACCACTCAGAGAACTGTAACTCTGGGAGGGGAGCAGGGGTCTCCTCACAGCTTTGGGGGAAGCCATGAGCATTTAAAGTGGTATAATACCGCTTTAAATGTGCAGTGTGGGTGTACGTAGCCTTTGTTAGGAGAGGCCTTCATTTATAACACAAATAGGCCTATTTCCCCCTTGTCAAACGCTGAAGAAAATGGAGTTGGGTGGGGTGCCCTCACTCTGCACAGGCATTTGGGCATTGTGAGAACTACAGTGAACGTCCCTCAAGGTTATGACTGAGGAGATAACATTTTCAAGAACGGTGCAAACAGGAGTGACCTTTGCTTCCTCATTTTTTTATCTTGCCGCCCTGCTGCCTGCGGCTATTAATTAACTAGCTGTGTTTCCGGAAGCATTCAGCATTCATTGAATCCAACGGCTACACTGTGTGAGGGAGATTCTGCCTCAGACAGATCCTACCAGCGGGGAAGATGTCCACCCGGTACCACCAGGCAGCTGCCGACGGCAATTTGGAGCTACTCAGAGAAGCCACCAGAAAAGACCTGAACACCTCAGACGCGGATGGGATGACACCGACCTTGCTGGTGGCTTACCATGGCAACCTGGAGGCTATGGAAATAATCTGCCGAAGAGGGTAAATCCAGCAGGCTTTGATAGATGCCACAATGTGTGTGGTTTGTTTTTTAAAATCCTAAAACCTGCAGGGAGAGGGATGGGATAACAGGCAATCGTTTCTTTGTTTTAGAGCTGATCAGATTTCAGGGGATGAGGAGGGGAAATCTATATAAGAAACCCCACCCAGAAGTTAGATCCCATGCTAGTCCTACACTGAGCAGACCTATTGAAATTAATGGGCATTGATTTCAGTGATTCTAGTGGGAGTCGAACCTAGATAGATACAACTTTTTGCTTTGTGTTTAAGGCATAAAAGTGACTGTTGGTGGTGCTGTCAGTTTGGGCTACCTGCTTGGTGGTGGAAGCCATGGCGGAGCCTTTTTAATGGTGGTTCCTCATTTGTGGAATGCCCTCTCTACTGAGGTGTGTCTGTCTCCCTCATTAAGCACTTCTAGGGGGAATTTCTTTTTTTAAAAAATCCTGTTTACCCAGGCATTTGATGGATGAAAGATTCTTGACAACCTTGGAATTGTCAGTTCTGAGAGCTGGTGATCCTTTTAGAAGGTAAACTGTCTTTAGAAGTGTTTAATTGTATTCTTTCACTATTTACATGTTTGCCACTGTGGGCTCCTTTGGAAGGAAGGGTAGGATATAAATTTATTAAATAATAACAGCAGCAACCTAAGTAAAGCCTGCTGGGTAAGGCCAATTACCCATTGAGTCCAGCATCCTGTTCTCACAGTGGCCAACCAGATGTCAGTAACACTCCCTCCTTCAGTGGTTTCCATTTGCTGGTATTCAAAGGCATTACTATTTCTGATTGTGGAAGCAGACCATTGCCACCATGACTAGTGGCCACTGGTATTTGTGTGCTCCATTAATTTCTCTCTTATAAAGTACCGTATTTTTTGCTCTATAAGACTCACTTTTTCCCTCCTAAAAAGTAAGGGGAAACGTGCGCGCGTCTTATGGAGCGAATGCAGGCTGTGCAGCTATCCCAGAAGCCAGAACAGCAAGAGGGATTGCTGCTTTCACTGCTCAGCGATCCCTCTTGCTGTTCTGGCGTCTGAGATTCAGAATATTTTTTTTCTTGTTTTCCTCCTCCAAAAACTAGGTGCGTCTTGTGGTCTGGTGCGTCTTATAGAGCGAAAAATACGGTAATCCAAGTTGGTGGCCATCATGGGCCTCCTGTGGGTTCGAATTCTGTATTTAACTTGTCACTGTGTGAATAAGGACTTCTGTTCATCTGTCCTGGATCTTCCAATGTTCGGCTTCATGAGATGTCCATGAAGTCTGGGGTTAGGAGATAGGGAGAAGAACTTTTCTCCATCCACTTTCTCCCGTATCATGCATAATTTTATAAGCTTCCTTCAGGTCACCTCTTATTCCCTTTTCTCTAAGCTTAAAAGCCCCAAGCACTCTAAGCTTTGCTTGTAGATGGATTCGCTCCACCCCTTGATCATTTTGCCCTTTTTTCCTGAACCTTTTCCAACTCCACAATAACCAGAGCAGGTCCCAGGTTCTCAGTGGACTTCCTGCTGGGGTGTGGGCACTCAACACATGCCTAACCATTCTGACCCTTGAGGAAAGAGGGCATCATTTTGTAGAGCCAGGGTGCATGCAGAAATACTGGAGAAGGTTAGAAGAAAGGGCCATAGCTCAGTGGTAACACATCTGCTTTGCATCCAGAAGGTCTCTGGTGCAGTTCTCCAGTTGTCAGGTTTAGCACTTCTGTCACACAAGACATGGAAAGCTGACAGTTTTACTAGTTGAGGAATATTTAGCAATAACAGGCTTTCAGCGGTCCGAGATCCCACAGCTCATTCCTCACTGTCGGAGTCAGTTGACTCGACTGGCTTCTAGCTCCTCCCAAGGTTTGCTCTGCCTCCTACTTCTTGGAGACTCAGGTGCAGCCAATTCCTCCTCCTCTGGAGCTGAATCCAAACCCCTCCTACCACCTGCCTCCTACTTCTGCATCTAATGTAAGTTTGCTGCGAAAACTTACAGGCAGCATTCCAGAGCGAGAAGGGCTTCTCTCACTTGCGTTGTGTGAAAGAATCAAGTTCCTGTTTTCCTCTGCCTCTTCCTCCCCCTCTGCAGACTCCTCTCTGCCGGCCATGTCCCTGACACCAGTTCAACCCTACCTGGAACCCTGGAGAACCCAGCACACAGTCTATGTAGACAAAACTCTGCTAGATGGTCCCATGATCTGACTCAGAAATAATAATAATAATGATAAATAATAATTTATTATTTATACCCCGCCCATCTGGCTGGGCTTCCCCAGCCACTCTGGGCAGCTTTCAACAAAATATTAAAATACAGTAATGCATCAAACATTAAAAGCTTACCTAAACAGGGCTGCCTTCAGGTGTCTTCTAAAAGTCTGGTAGTTGTTGTTCTCTTTAACATCTGGTGGGAGGGCGTTCCACAGGGCGGGTGCCACTACCGAGAAGGCCTTCTGCCTGGTTCCCTGTAACTTGGCTTCTCGCAGTGAGGGAACTGCCAGCAGGCCCTTGGTGCTAGACCTCAGTGACCGGGTAGAACGATGGGGGTGGAGACGCTCCTTCAGATATACTGGACCGAGGCCGTTTAGGGCTTTAAAGGTCAGGTTCCTAGAATCATAGAGTTGGAAAGGACCCTATGGCTCATCTAGTACAATCCCCTGCAATGCAGGAATCTGCAACCATCCGGGGATCAAACCTGCGACCTTGCCGTTATCAGCACCAAGCTCTAACCAACTGAGCTAACCTGGGCCACACCAGAACCATGGCTAGGAGAAAGTGGGGTGTATGTGGTGAGCCTTCTTCCTGAACACTGAAAGGAATGCTCCCAACAAGGAAACCTGTTTAACTCAGAGGTTTCAGAACAAGGAAGACAATAATTTCTGTAGACTCAAAATTGCTTGTAGACTTCGAAATGGATTGAACAGAATTGAACCAGGCTTATTTTATATATATATATAGGGAGAGAGAGAGAGAGAGAGAGAGAATACCTGCAATAATGCCTTTAGCACTGACATGTGTTTGTGGGAGACATAGGTGATCAAAATCCAGTTAAGAAGCAATCTTCTTCTAATTAGATTCACACAAAGGTACCTCAACCACTGCTTTGTAGCCTGTATTCATCTCTTTCAATCTGCTAGAGTTGGAATCTGCGTCAGTGCGTTGAACTGCTCTCTTGAACTTCCACAATGAAGGGCTGTCTGAACGGGGGAGATGAATGTGGATTTTTGGACACATGTTGAATTGTTCAACGGGCCCAATGAGGAGGATAAGTATCAACAAGGAGGAAATGATAGTATGAGTTGGCGTGGACCCCAAGGGTCATGTAGTCCAACCCCCAGCAATGCAGGAATCTCAACACATGGTCTCCCATCCCATTTGAAACCATACCACACCCTGCTTAGCTTTGCAAATGTGCTAGCAGTTTTATTGCTGCATCACCAAGAAAGGAACGCTCCAGCTTCCTTTTTATGTGTTAGCCCCAGTTTTTAAAATACTCGTAAAATACATTATTGTTATTTATTTCATTTATGAATTGCCTCCTATGAGGCATCTCAAAGCGATTTCACAACCCAATAAAAATCTGTATGAAACAATTGCATATACAGTGGTACCTCGGGTTACATATGCTTCAGGTTACATACGCTTCAGGTTACAGACTCTGCTAACCCAGAAATAGTGCTTCAGGTTAAGAACTTTGCTTCAGGATGAGAACAGAAATCGGGCTCCGGTGGCGCAGCAGCAGCAGGAGGCCCCATTAGCTAAAGTGGTGCTTCAGGTTAAGAACAGTTTCAGGTTAAGTACGGACCTCCGGAACGAATTAAGTACTTAACCCGAGGTACCACTGTATAAAAGAGTTAAAAACTGTTATGCATACAAAAACAGATTAAGAAGTTACGTGTATAAAAACAATTTCAAATCCAATAAGGATATTGACTGAGGGCCGTAGTACTGGGGTGTGTGTGTCTGTGTAGAATAAAAGACTGATATGAGCTATGCTGAAATAATGCATAAAGCGAGGGAGGCTCAAGCCTAGGAGGCAACAGAGGCAGTTTTAGGGTAGTGTGACTGGTTCACCTGCAGTGTTGTGCCGAGGGGTGTTGTGCTGAGGGGGCGCCACAACAGTGCAGTGTAGAACAGAGGATGAGAGGTGGGAGGCACCAAATGTTGCACATTGTGTCACTGAAATTTGACAGCCCACTGGGGACAAATGTACCCCTCTGTCCAGCACTTGGGACTATCCTCAGGCCACAACTTCCCCACCCAACCACAAGCCTCACTTGTCCTGCTTTGTCCTCCTGATGTAATTTTGTCGGGCTGGAATGTGCCCTTGAATTGTAACAGTGCCTCTTGCTTGCCTAGTTAGAAATATGACTCTTGCTCATCCGCAATGCAGTTCACAATGCAAAAGCAACGGCAGATCCATTTAAAGGACATCAGGTGCACATTTAAAGAACATGATCCCTCCTCCGGAAAAAAAAGAAAGAATCACAAGAACTGTAGTTTTGCTCTCACAGAGCTCCAGTTCCCAGCCCCTCTGACAAAATTCAGTTCCCAAGATTTTTGGGGGAAGAATCTTGTGTGTTGAATGTGCTTTAAATGTATGAGTTACAGATAGGTAGCCGTGTTGGTCTGCCATAGTCAAAACAAAACAAAACAGATGCTGAAGAAGTGTGCATGCACACGAAAGCTCATACCAAGAACTAACTTAGTTGGTCTTTAAGGTGCTACTGGAAGGAATTTTGTTTTGTTTTGACTTTAAATGTATGGTATGCCCTCACATGTGTAGATCCACCTGCTTTTTGCATCTGAATCCACCTGTCAGTGCTGTTGTGCATTTTAAAATGCACGCAGGAAAATACATCTTCAGCTGCATGTAAGCTTTATTTGTGCACATACAATCAGTGATCACTGGAGAGTCTCAGAAAAAGAGAACTCCAAATTCTCTGATGGAAAGCAGGTATACTTACAGGAAAACATACTCTACCTACAGCATAAGGGTCAGATAAAAAAT